TGGTTTCCTGTCATTTTGCCGTGAAAGCAAGGTTGACTGTCATGTGCAGAATTATTAGTTTAAGACATTCCTCTTTGTCTACTCTTTTTGATGAAGGCCTCAGGGTAAAACACAGCAAGCGGCAGTGAGCAGCTTGCAATTTTCTGAAGAGTATTTCCCAAAGTGGCCTTCCATAAGAGGTACTTCTTGAAATGTTCTTCACTCTTTAAAGCAGGAACAGCTACGTAGTTTTGTATATTTCAGGATGACTTAAAAAAGTGTAAAGATCCCTGAAGGTTTAGATTAAAGGTTTATCTACTCTAGTACTCTCTGAATCTGTACTAGCCAGCTAGGTACCTAAGGGATACTCCTACACAAAACTTCAGTGTAAATGGGTCTTCTTACTGATGTGCTCCAGCAACTATTGTATTTTTCCATGTATAAAATGACACTTTCCCCTAAAATAATTAGAGAAAAAACTGAGGGTCATTTTATACATGGAAGGCAGCATCAGGAGGCGGAGACTGAGGCAAAGAAGCAGCCGGGCTCAGCTGACTCTTGCGGCTGCCGCTGGCACCCAATCACCTCCTCCAGCTATCATCTCCTTGGCTTAGTAAAAGGAAGGGAAAAGCAGCGGCCCAAGGGATTGTGCAGACCTTTGATCCCTGCTTTTGCCTTTCTTTTGCTAAGCCCCAGGTTTAGGAAGTGGCAGGGAAAGCAGCGATCAAAATTTCAAATTTGGGGTTAGAAAAGGAGGGGGTCGTCTTATAAACGGAAAAATACGGTAGCTTTCAGAGGCATCGAGTTTCGGATATTAAAGGTAAAGGTTGCCCTTGACAAATTGTGTCTATCTCTAGAGGGTGGTGCTCATCCCCGTTTCCAAGCCATGGAGTCAGTGTTTGTCTGTTGACAGTTTCATGGCAGCACAACTAGACACAGACAGCCGTTACCTTCCTACCAAGGTGGTACTGTACCTATTTATCTACTTACATTTTTACGTGCTTTCAAACTGCTAGTTTGGCAGGAAAAGGTAAAGTACTGGAGTTAATATGTGACTCGGTTCTTTGCTGTAATCAGTGTCCCATCCCAGCTCCAAACTTATCATGGGAGTCACATCATGCTTAACAACAACAACATATTTATTCACCGCAGCAGGTGTTTTACCTACAATACTGTAACTCCAAAAAGCCCAACTTCGGCTTCCCTCTTAAGGAGAAATAACCTGACTCAGGAACTGTTCATAAATCATGCTTCAGTGATGATGCCCTCCCCCACAACCCTGCTTATTTTTTGTCTCCCTTCTTGGTGGGTGTGTTGGACTTGAACAGAGGCAGCCACAACAGGGATGTGGAGCCCAGCTCCCCCGCCCCAAAAGCCTGCACCTTTCCTCCACCTATCCCTTGTTGGAAACTCCTGAGTCTCCTGTCTTCCTCCCTTCCTCATTCGGGGGTAGCTGCCATCCCTTGTCTATATTTCCTGTCACCTCTCAGGCTTTTTGCTCTCTCTCTCATCTTCTCTTCTCCCTTCTCCCTCTCTCTCCACAGAGCAATAATTTGTGTGGAGATCGATGGCAGCCTTGTCTCTCTTCCTCTGTCTCTGGGACCATCAATGTCACCCATTTGCCATTCCAGAGATCCTCCTTCAGAATCCACTCCCAACCATCAGGCAAGTTGGGTATGGGTTTCACTCCTCCTTCCTCCTCTCCTTTTTCTCTGGATTGCTTTTCCTTCTCTCCACTCAGCTCTGCCACTACTCTCTTTTCTCTCGTGTTCTCCTTCCCCACATCCTCCTTTATAGCCATCTCCTTTCCTGACCCCTCCCTTTCTGTCAGTTGCTTCCTTCCCGGGTCTTTAGTTGAATCTGGCTTATCTGGTCTGATTGGAGAGTTTAAGTCTGTCAGTTCTATCCTGACCTCTCCTATCTTTCTGCTTCTAGGGGCTAAGAGGACAGCGCACTGACAGGGAGACTCATCCCCTTGTCCCCCTCCATGATTAGCAGCAACTTGATAGTCTTATCTTTCATGAACTTGTCTAATCCCCCCTTTAAGACTATCTCCAACCGATTCTCTAATCTTTACAATGGCTCACAGCTGAGGGGAAAGCTGTGTCCTGGGGATCAGCAGCGGCGTGTGTCTGCTCAGTTGGATGTCCAGGTGCTAAATATTTGCCGCCATCTTCCAAACTTCTGTTTTCATCATACATGTCTTTTTCCAGAGTCTGGAAAACTACTTTTAAGAAATAATTAATTGCATCTATAGATTCGAAGTCCCCAAAGTAGGCAGATACCATGCTAATTGCAATTTCTTAAGCACAATCCCTGTTTCTCAAAAGTAACTAACATTTTGCTTTGTGGCTTATTTACTTGTTTTAAAAAAACCTGAAGGCTGCGATACACTTGTACTTCAAACCATTATGAGCAAAAAAAAATATGGTTGAATGTTGTGAGCCACTAGTTCAGGCCGTGGAATGAAACGGACCCCATCTTCCTGTCTGCCCTCTTTTCATCTCAGAGCAACAAAGAACAAAATGACCTTCTGGCAAAGATAGCAGGTGAACCCTGTGATATTCCTCTGATATCACTGAGTGAGTCCATGCCCTCCAAAATGATAGAAATGGCACAGCCAAAGGAGTGAGGTTATTCCTCATTAAGTTACAATCATGAATGTAACAGAAATGTCCAGATGCATACCCAGGTTCAAGTGTAAGCTGTTGCTGCGAAACCAGCCAAGTCTCTTGTAGAAAAGTAAATACCCAGGTTCAAGTGTAAGCTGTTGCTGTAAAACCAGCCAAGTATCTTGTAAAAAAGTAATTTATTTATTTATTTGATTTGTATCCCGCCCACTGGTCTATACGACCACTCTGAGCGGCTTTACGTGGCATAAGCTTTCCTCGACTGCGCCCCAATCCTTCTGATGCATGGAGCATATTATAAGTTATGCCAAATAAAACTTTCACATTCCACCAGGATCTTTGTTGGTTTTGCTGTAATGTAACCTAGCAATCTATTAGTTACCAGATAGCTAGGAAACAAGACTCAATTGCAACTGACATTATTGGTCCAAGTTACTTCCAAGCTGTTTCTGGAGAAGAGTTCAATGCCAGCACTAAAGCCCTTGATGTATGGAGAGTGCCAAGCACCAAGTGGTGCAAAAGAGATCTGGCGCAAGTTTGAAGGATTGAGCTCCCAGACCACCAAGTGGTTCAAAGCAATTCTGGTGGCAGTTCTGCTCAGAGACCAAATGTTGGTCAAGGTCTATAATTGTCAATGTCTTAATAGCATGAGTGTTTTCCAACCAGTTTCTTGCTGCCAATGGAACATTGCTTCCTGAGCCAAACGGCGGCTTTAGGAAGAGCTTTCCTCTAAAAATGACAGCAAGGGACATAAGTTAAATTATCTCTTCTATACCCATTGCACTTCTCCTCTAGCTGCTGCAGCCAAGATGGGGTTGCTTTTTATTTTTTATTTTAAATGACCATGTAAATTCAATTCCTTAAATAGCTAGTTTAGCCCTAAATGTAAATCAGTTTAGTGTACAATTGAACTCTGCCATAAGGATTCCACACAACCCCGCCGCCGCCCCAAGCAGGGAAAAACAAATAGTAATAGATATAGATTATCAGATATTTGGAAACTGCTCTAAAATTTCAGGATAGGTCTATCACGTCAGGGATTATGATGCCTCAATATCTCCCCATGAGCCCTGCAGAACTTTATAGACCTCTAGGGAGAGCTCAGAAAGCCGGTGTCTGTCACAGCTGGAATTTATCCCAGTTAAGGGTTAATTCCAGGAGGAAACTCAATAATCATTCCTAATCATATCAAAATACATCAAGGTATCCATCTTTTCATTGCTGCAATAAATCCAGGCAACGTTGCCTTGTGTAATTCTACAAGCTTTGCATCTATATTCCTTAAGCACATCTATATCCCTTCTTTCTCTACCTTAAAAAAAAAAGATGGTGAGGAAAGAGGAAAATAAGTTTTGATATTCTTGGTTGTCCCTGCCCCAAAACCACTGCCAGCAATATAGTGTATCTGGAGTTTCAAATTGACCATCAGGTCACTAAAAATATTAGTCTTGTTGGTAACATAGCCTTTAATAGGGAATAATATTGATAGAATAGTGGTTCTGAAGAGGAGCTGAAATTGACTAAGGGCTAAAACCTTCGATCTCAACTTGGTAGCCCTCACCATGCTGGTCCATGCATTGGTAGTCTTGAGACTAGACTACTGCATGACTTCTATGTGGGAATGCTACGGAGACCGCAACAGGTCCAGAACATGGAGGCCAGACTACTGAGTGGGGTCAGAAAATACCAATACATCTCCCCCACTTTGGCCACCTTACACTGGTTACCTGTTTGTTTGTTTGTTTATTTTATTTCTATCCCACCTATCTAGGCTTCCGTTTCAGCTTCAAGGTAATGGTATTAACCCTGAACGGTTTGGGACCTCGATATCTAGTCAAGTACCTCCTTCCTGTTAGGTCTCCCTGTCCAGTAAGATAATCACAGGCAGGGCGGCTGAGAGTTCTGATCCCGAGAGAGGCCCAGAAAACAACCACCAGAAATTGGGCCTCCTCAGAGGTAGCTCCACAACTGTGGGATACCCTCCCACCCAAATTCCACCTGGCTCCCTCACTAAGCACTTTTTAAAAACTACTAAAAACCTGGTTATTTAGACAGCCCTTTCTAGATCAAATAACATCCTGAGGCAATAGTGCTTCTGATAATGTCATATCTAATTTACCACCATGTTTTAATGTTATTTACTGTATTGTATTTTATTATGTCTCTTGTTATATATTATGTTATTTTGTTCTGTGCTTTTATAATTTATTGATGCCATTAATGTTTGGTGATTCTGTTGTTGTTACTCTTTAGTTGTAGCAAACTGCCCAGAATGGCCTTAGGCTGCCAGATGGACGGTATAGAAATCACATAAATAAATACATAAATAAGTCTTTCTCTGAAAAGTTTACTGCACCCTTTTCTTATTCTTTTTACCTGTTTTGTTTTTACCTGTGAGAATGATTCAGAGCAAGGTCGGGCTTTCTCATCTTCAAGTAGCAGATTACAAGCTTTGTTTCGATAAAACTGGCAATGCTTGAGATATCTTTTGGAGAGGCTTCAAAAGGCTTTCCTAAAGCTGCGCCTTTGCTGCAGAGCTTGTAAGAGAAAGAAAGAAAGAAAGAAAGAAAGAAAGAAAGAAAGAAAAAAAACATACCTTATTACTATTTATTTATTAGAAGTGTTTATTAATGACTTTTCTCTCCCACAGGGTTGCCTAGGCAATAAACCATAAACATTCCTTAAAACAAATTGTAATGATTTAAATAGCCATTTTGATAATACAGAGCTATGTGCTGATTAGATTACATTTCCAGATCATCTCATATTTGTAATGCCCCAAGGATTTTGTAAATTATTACTTACCATAAGCTTAAAACAATCCTGTACAGTAATTCTTTCCTAAAGTTAATTTGAATGTTCTCATGTTCTCTCTCTCTCTCTCTCTCTCTCTCTCTCTCTTTCTCTCTCTCTTCCTGGCTCACAGGCTACAGGAGCCCTGGAATAAGTCATCATTGTAGGAGTGCAAGTGTATGAAAATTTGGGGTGGAGTAGGGTCGTCCTAACAGATTCAGATTTGCAGGCACTTTTAAGCACATTGATGCCCCGTGAACTTCAAAGCCACAGGACTGCCATTTAAAAATACAAACACCATTTTTTTTTTTTTGATAGAAAAAGAATTTGCTGGAATAAATCCAGTCATAATGGGTCACCTCCGGGAATGCTCACATTAAATGCCTCAAGGAAGTATGGCCTATATTGCATCACCAGCAGTTAGCTGAGGTGGCCAATTTCTTTTTAAATAAATATATTACCATCCAATATTCCAAAAAAAACAATTTGTGCTGAAGGAAGTATAATTTTAAATATAAAGAGACTTTTAAATATTGAAGCTGGGGCAAAGTTCCACTGGCAAACTCACCCAGAAAAATCTGATTCTTTATTCCTCTGCTCTTACTTCATTAACCTCATATTTAGTGCTTTATGACAGATATTTATAAACTATAGTTATTGGATTCAGTTTCTCTGGTGATGCAATTAATACTTCCAGTTCCAAGAGTCGCTGTGGCACTTGTAGCCAAAGGTCAATGATGTGGATACCAAAAGATGTTCTAATTATAAATATTGTTATACTGCCCCAGAAAGTATATCCTATTAGACTGCAATGTGCAGAATGGTAAAAAATTGTTTTAAACATTTCTTAAAATTCTTGACTGGGCCTTATTGATTCGTCCAATGTAAATATCCCAACGCATTGGGAAAGCAGCTACCATGTTCTCTAGACTCACAAAGAGAGTATGGCTTAATAAGTAGCTGACGGCATAGACCAAAATCCAGGTCTATAGAGCCTGTGTCCTGAGCACACTCCTGTACTGCAGCGAGTCCTGGACCCTTTGTGCATGGCAGGAGAGGAAGTCAAACACATTCCATATACGTTGTCTCCAACACATTTTTGGCATCACCTGGCAGGACAAAGTTCCAAATAGAGTAGTCCTAGAACGAGCTGGAATTTTTAGCATGTACGCATTACTGAAACAGCGCCATCTACGTTGGCTGGGGCATGTTGTGAGAATGGCTGGTGGTCGAATTCCAAAAGATCTCCTGTATGGAGAATTAGTGAATTAGTGTAGAGAAGTTGCCCCAGAGGGAGACCACAGTTGCAATACAAGGATATATGCAAGCGGGATCTGAAGGCCTTAGGAATGGACCTCAACAGATGGGAAACTTTGACGTCTGAGCATTCAGCCTGGAGGCAGGCGGTGCATCATGGCCTCTCCCTATTCGAAGAGACACTTGTCCAGCAGGCTGAGGCAAAGAGTCAGTCCCGAAACCAGCAAAACCAGGGCGCTGGACAGTCTATTTGTCTTCAATGTGGGAGGGATTGTCTCTCTCGAATTGGCCTTCTCAGCCACACTAAACGCTGTTCCAAGACCTCCATACAGAGCATGTTACCATAGTCTCTTGAGACTGAAGAATGCCTACAGAAATATCCCACAACCAGCCCCCCTTTTAAAAGGTTGTTTTACGGTTTCACATTAGGATCATCTCACAGAGTTTAATATGAGTATGTGACTCAAGCTGGCCGGATAGCTCAGTGATTTAAGTTTGGAAGTCCGATTCCCCTCTGTGCGTCCTGCAAACAAAGCCAGCCTATGTGGCCTTGGGCAAGCTACACAGTCGAAGGCCTTCCCCAGAAGAAGAATATTTCTATGCTCTGCCTGAAAACCCTAAGTGATGATGATGATGATGATTATTATTATTATTATTATTATTATTATTATTATTATTATTATTATTATTATTATTATTATTATTATTATTATTATTATTATTATTATTATGTGAATCAAACTGTAAGTTGGAGACATGGGAGAGGGCCTTCTCTGTTACTGCTCTAAGAGTTTGGAGGCCAGGGTGATCCCCATCTTTGCTGTCCTTTTGCAAGCAGACAAATACCCGTATTTTTCGCTCCATAAGACGCACCTTTCCATAAGACGCACCAATTTTTTAGGAGAAGAAAACAGGAAAATATAATCTGTTTTCTTCGCTCCATAAGACGCACAGACTTTCCACCCCCCCTGTTTTGTGGGGAAAAAGTGCGTCTTATGGTGCAAAAAATATGGTACATTTCTCTTTAGGCAGACCTTCCTTTAGTGACTGGACATCTGAGTGTGGTTTTTAAGTGGATTATTGTTGCTTTGAATGTGTATTTGATGTTGGTTTTGTCTGCCATTTTTAGTGTGGTATTTCTTTGATTCTTTTTTAAAATACTTGCATACTTACTGTTTTTAGCTTTTAAATATTGTCTTTTACTGATGCAAACTGCCTTGTGTCCTTTTTAAAGAGGAAGGAGGACTGAAACAGATAAACAAACAAACTACACCATGGATAGATGTGGCATATCTGTTGCCAGTTCACTGCTGATATCTGTGAGTTTTACATTCTACACTAAAAGTTTGTTTCCAGAACAGTTGCTGGCTGACCCAATACACCTTGATTGAAGGTGCTATTTATTGCCTATTATGAGAGTTTTTCAAAAAAGCATATTGCAGCATATGATGAATTAAAGGGGGAAAATATATCTTGGGACCCTTTAGAATCATTTTCTCCCAGTGATCATATTGAAAGTCTAATTTGCATATCCCTTAGTCAGTGAAAAAGGTCATGCTCAAAGAAATAAAAATATGAGAATACCTTTTATGATCCCCCCCCACCTTCCACCCAGCCCAATAATAATAGAGAACATTCAGATTAGAAGAAGCTGCTTTAATCCATCCATCAAGAACACCATGGAAGAACATAAGTAGAAAAATAATAAAAAGAGGGAGCAATTTCTGTTCTTAATTCTCAGTTAATGGAAGGGAATCATGTGAAAAGTGGCCTGCAGAATGCTTTAAGGATGAAATAGGCTTGTTTTCATATTTCATCTTGTGTGCTTCTCCCATGGAATTTAATATAGAATAATCACCTTATTACTGCGTACTTTAAAAGCATTCTGAAATTTGAATGCAAGGCTAAGGTTCTTTCTCCGTTTATATGGAGCAGTCTAAAATGGTGCCACAGGAAGATAGTAATTTCTCTCTCTCTTCCACATCTTCCTTTTGTGAGCACAGCAAAGGCAGAAGATGTTTCTAGAAAGTGAGGTGCCTGACCTTCATGGATCAGATTATTTTTCCCGAACGGAGGAAACAAGTGGTGGCTCATGTTTGTGTATGCCTGTCTCTCTTAGGGCAGATGTGGGCAAATTGCACAGGTGCCCCAGGACCCAATTGTGCCCTTAGGACCACATCAATTCAACTCCCAAACCCAGGAACTCCTGAAACAGAATCAGAATGGAAACATCCCCACCACCCAGTGTTTTCTAGGGGTGCTATTTGCCATTTTGGTGTTTTGGAGAGGTAGAGTGGAAGGGGTTGACACCCCTCCAAACCTTGGGGGTGAACAACAACAGGCTTAAGACTTTCAGAAATTTCCAAGCCCTGGGCTGGGGAAGATACATTTTTGTTGCTGTTTAGTCATTTCATTGTGTCCGACTCTTCGTGACCCCATGGACCAGAGCACGCCAGGCCCTCCTGTCTTCCACTGGCTCCCAGAGTTGGGTCACATTCATGTTGGTAGCTTCAATGACACTGTCCAGCCATCTCATCCTCTGTCGTCCCCTTCTCGTCTTGCCTTCACATTTTCCCAACATCAGGGTCTTTTCCAGGGAGTCTTCTCTTCTCATCAGATGGCCAAAGTATTGGAGCCTCAGCTTCAGGATCTGTCCTTCCAGTGAGCACTCAGGGTTGATTTCCTTCAGATTTGATAGGTTTGTTCTCTTGGCAGTCCAGGGGACTCTCAAGAGTCTCCTCCAGCACCACAATTCAAAAGCATCAATTCTTCCGCAGTCAGCTTTCTTTATGGTCTAGCTCTCACTTCCATACATCACAACTGGAAAAACCATAATTTTGACTATGTGGACTTTTGTTGGCAAGATGATGTCTCTGCTTTTTAAGATGCTGTCTAGGTTTGTCATCAGTTTTCTCCCAAGAAGCAGGCGTCTTTTAATTTCGATACATTAATTAAAATACATTTTAGGAAGAGTTAATTTTTTCTCCTAAACATTACCTCCATCCACTTTGGCCCCCATTTGACTTTCTTTGCCAAAGCTATTCATGGTGACTATCATGATGACTTTACATTACCTCTGGTGCCATGTATATAAAGCTATACATGTTGTAGAGAAAGTGTAAAACAATCTTTTGAAGCTGAATTGAATAAATAAAAAGAGTTCTTTTGACTGTGTAATTAAGCTACCAAATGCTCTAGTTTTATAAGGATGGCCACCAGCACAGACTGCTTTAAAGGGGAATTAGTCAGATTCATGGAGATCAAGTTATCCATGACTTCATATCATTACATTGACCAACAACTTACCTCTCAACCTCATTTTCAGTAGATATATTTTGGGTGGATACCAATTCAGCTGGAGTGGAGGTGTGTTTCATTTTTCTCAATACTATTAATACCTAGGATTACACAGTGCTCTTTGGATGCTTGAGTATTTCACATATATCATCTCAGTAATCCGTAAATACAAATACAGGATGTTTCCCGT